GGGCGGCCTTGACGATGGCCGCGGCCAGGCCCGCGCCAAGGCACCGGAAAGCAGAAGCTGGTGGTTGGGGAGGCGGAATCACTGGTCATTTCCCACAAACCTGACAGATGCCGGTGGTGCAAAAGCAGTGTGGGGGGCTGATGGAGGATTGGGACTTGAGAAAGTTGGGCTTGGATCCCTTTGTTGGCATTGAGGGTATGCCCGAAGTCCGCCAGCGCGGCGGGTGGTCTGCACCCCTGGCACGTCAGTGGGCCAGTTGGGTCAGAACGTGGCCAGAGCCAATGGCAAGGGTGGGAACGAGATCGGAAAGTCTCGATGTGGTGCTCAGAGATAGCAGCACGGTTTGGGCTGTAGAAGGAGATGAGGCGAGAACGCAACTACTACAGTACCAGGTGAATGAGCAAGAAAGATGGGAGGGGAAAACTACCAAATGGATGAGCAAGAAAGATGAAAAGGGCAAACAGTGTCCAGCAGCTGCATAATGCGGACATGTCTGAACTACAAATACAATGGCTACCTTTTGATTCTGGATACACACTCCGAAAAAAAGACGAACACTGATATCAAGCTTTGTGCCTCTATGTAAGGGAGCACTTGCACCTGTCTTCAAGTTTTCAGCACACATGGTGTTTGGGTCGTCTTCCTGGCCCCCCAAAAAAAGAAGAGCATCTTCTGACTTCAAAGAGCATTTATTTGAATCAGGGGGGGGTACCTTCCACGAGCAATTTCAATATTATTTGGCTGCTTTGCTAGATTTCTAGGTTGCCCGAGGTCGCTAGAAGGGGGCAACCCTTCAAACAGCCACCGACGAACTCCAGGTCTTCAACTTCTCCCACGAGGCGGCCAACGGGCGCACCAGCAGCATCGCCCAGGAAACGGGTGCTTTCGGTGTGCGTATCGCGTATCGCCGGCCTCGGTCGGGTTCATGGCTGTGGTGGTCAAAACCGTTGCGGTTGATCCCATTATAGGTGAATTCACCACCCATTTTAGGCCTCCTATTTTACTGGTTCAAATTGGGATATTCACTGGGGGTACGATTTGGATTTTGACCCATGGCCAGATCCTGATTTCGTTCGTCACTTGACCCGACCACTCCCGCAAATGCCCGGCCTTTGCAAAAAAAACAATTCGCGCCTGCGCATCGGGCGAAAAAAAAAGAAAAAGGCACCAGGCAGGTTCAGCGGGGTTCCGGCTCGCGGCTTCAGCATGGCTTCGGCCAGGAGATCATGGGCTTCGCTCCGGGGGGCGACCAGGCGCCAAGGGAGAGCCCGTTGAAACCCAAAAGATTGCAGGCTTGCTGAAACTCGCCGAAACAAACCGCGCTTTGCCTACACAGCGCCAGCTCCCTCCCGGCGATCGTTTTGAGGTCGCGGAAGGGCGCGCCGGTGACCGGTGACCGGCCCCCCGGCCCTCGGATTCGTAGGTCCTCATCGAGCGCATGGCGACCACCACGGCCAACTCGAGGAACACCACGTGGCAGCAGGTGGTGAGCCAGTCGGAACGCTTGGTGACCTTCAGCCACTTGCCTTCCTTCAGATCCCGGAAGTCGCAGGTTGAAGCTGTGTCAATGTTGAAGCCAAGCTGAATATCTTCTTGGTGGAATGAAATTCCAGGGCCGCTGAAAGGAAACCCACCATTTGGATGGCCAAAAAGGGCTCATTCCATTTCTCATTCCATTCTCTCGCGGCGATCGCAAGATGAATAGACCTTCCAAGCCACCATTTCAGCTCCACCCCAATGGGCATTTTGGGAGACCCAGCTGGGTTTGGTCTCCTGAAAAAGACCCGGCTCGCTGGATTCCATTCGCTGGAGGTGACCTTTGCGGTCATGAGAAGTACCTGAAGACCACCATCTTTGGGCTGGTGGGGCAATGTCCGGGAGCCGAGAAAGCCGTTCAGGGAGTGGCGAAGCGGCGAAGTGGCTGAAACGAAGGGAGGCCATGGCATGGGGAATGGAACCGAGGATTAGCACCTGCGTAAGCCTTTTTTTTTGTGAGCCACACACTTATAAAGGTGGCCTTTTCGGACTAGGCAACCTAGAGACAATGACTGCCAGTCCGTGTTTTTGTTGGGACGGGCAGTTCGAATTCAACGGAACATGGAATTGGTAGTCAGGGCGGGATTATTTTGCTTTGAGGAGGCTCAGTTGTGTTGAGGCTTGCTTTGCTTAGCTGTTGCATCTCGCCATGTTGGGGCATCCTGGGTGATGTCAAGATCCTCACCGCCCAGGGGTTTGATAGCAAGCCTTATAACTTACAACGCCTTCTCCATCAGGAGGGGCGTTGGAACCACAACATCAACGCATCACATTCCTGAGACTGCGCACACAAACTCTGCGCGGTGACGGAAGTATCCATGCGACTGGCACCACTTCAAGCCACTGGTGGACTGGTTGGCTCACGTGAGTCACAACCCGGAGAAAGGTGGACACAATGCTCACGATGGATGCGGATATCCGGCCTTTCAATTCGTTACATGGTTCTGATCGACCAATTTAAGACGCACCTTCACCAGGCCCTGGCTGAACGCCACCGGTGACAGGGGAGGTTCACAAGGAAAGAGAGGAGGGTGTGGAGAGGGTCCGAAGCAAGGGGCTCCGGGTTTTTCCTTTATGAGACTCCAGTGGAGCAGCTCCTCTGAGGTCCCGACTACACCATGATCATCGTGAACGCCAACGCGGGGTTCCAGCGCATGTCGCGGGAGCACCTGGGCATCGCGCTGGCGCTGAGCATCCCCTTCTTCATCGTGGTGACCAAGATCGACATCGCCCCTCAGCGCCTTGGCGGCTTCGACGGCTTCGACGGGTTCGACGGGTTCGACGGGTTCGAGTGGCTTCGACGGGCCGGCGTTGGGCGAGAAAAAGTAGCAGTAGCACCCCCCCCCCCCCTGCTTTTTCAAGCCCCCCTCTCCTTTTTTTTTGTTTCTTGTTTTTTTTCTTCCGATGGTTTGCTTGCTGGAGAAGGTTTGCTTACTGGAGAAGGAGACTAACGTTGGCTTGTCTTGAGGAAACATTTGAGGGGATTTGTTCAATGCTAAGACTGGACACTTTTGCATTCATAGCCAGAGTTTTATCAGCGTTCAACTTAACGCTGCAACTCAGCATCGAGAGAGGTAAGATCCTCCTTTTTGCAATCCATAGCAGGTGAATCTGCAACCTCTACCACAACCCTGTGGGAAATGTCTCGGATGATGTGGCAACTTACCAACAGATGAAAGCAACCTTCTTCTTGCGTTGTCCGCTTTCCCTTCGGCCGAGGAATGTCTACGAGGAGAACCTCGCTCAGCTGCACAAGATCGTGAAGCCTGGGCCTGGGCGGGTGTTCGGCGGACGGCTGAGTCTTGTTGGTTCTGATCTCACAGCCTGTAAGATGAAAGGGCTGAGTCTTGCTCTTTCAGATTTTTTTGTCTTGTTCTTTCAGATCTTTTTGTCTTGTTCTTTCAGATCTTGTCTTGTTCTTTCAGTCTTGTTCTGGGTTGCTTGACGTTGGATCATACAAAGCATCCGCTCCCTCGCCATCGAGGATGGTAGAGCTGGTTCCAATGTCTCCAGCCATACTTTCCAGGTCCGAAGCAGACAGGTGCCGGGGAAGCTTCCGTCGTGCTGAAGACGTGTTGTGGTGCAGCAACCATGGGTGTCCTTTTTGGTTCTTTTGCTTAAAGAATAGACGGCATCTACCAGGGCCATCTATTTTCCAAAAGGACCCTATGGCAGCAACTTTGTTCGACAAAAACGCGTCTCAAACAGAGCATTTGGTGTAGGACCTGCACGCTTTTGAATGAGGTCCAACGCCGTGAAGCGGCAGCCCTTGGTGGTCAAAGAGGAGGCTCAGATGCAGGCCGCGGCGAGCGGCATCTACAACAAGGAGGCCGAAGCTTGAGGGAGCAGCTTTCAAGCAAGTTCGAATTTAGACATTTGCATGGCAGCTTATGGCCCATTGAACAACTGTCTTGGCGCCAGGCTCTTTTGATCTCATTGTCTCTTTCATCGCACAACAATGCAATTATCACTGCACACGTCAAAGCGAATTGGGCAGCGCCAATCCCAAGGGACGGTTTTGGCGCTATGGGATAGCCTGCAATACATGAGCGTCAAGGTGCTCCAGGGATCTCGCCTGTATTTTGGGATACTCAGAGCACGGGAACCCTGTGAAGTCTTCAAAATTGGTATTGTTCCAGTGCTGTTTGCCAGTGTCTAAGCACTTTAAGGGCGCGTGGAGTTGTGGGTGCGACGGTCCGGCAGTCACGTCGTGGCTGCTGGGCCCAAGTTGTTCGAGAGGTTTGCCCAATCTTCTGCGTGTCCAACGTCACTGGTGACGGTGCCCAGCTCAGACAGCCCTGTGGAGGATTGGACGTCAGAGCGCGCAAGAACAATGTCAGTGACAGAGATTCAGAGGCCCCCACAGCCAATACGCAACCTAGACGCCCAGCGGAGCAGGCATGCAGACAGGTGCAAACATGGGGTTGTCAAGGATGTGGCTCGGCACACCTTGCAGTTGCTTTGCCCTTCTCATCGCTTCCAGGCAGCTCAGTGACTCAGGTCTCCCGCTGCTGCGCTGCTTCCTGCGGTGTCTTCCCTCGCGGCTGCAGGACGTTTAAGCGAAATTCATGGGAACACCAGAGGCTACTGTTTCCATGCTGGCAATTTGTGAAGCTGTGACTGGAGGACTGGACACATATCGCGTTGGTTTATTTGTTAAGCGGTGACTGGAGGACTGGACAGATTTTACATTTCCCGCAACTGACGCGTTGACATATTCCGATATTCATATCGAGGCACGTCTGTTTGGTTCAGGATAGCGGGCTCTTCAAGCCTCCTAGCTGTCTGGGAGCCGAGCTGCTGCTGGAGGGGGATCTATCAAGAGGTGTGTCTCACGACATCCTTGACTGCACTTGACTCTCCAGCTTACTTTTTCTCACACAGCATTCACATTTTTCAGTTTTGCTGAAGGACGCAGACAAGACGTGTGTTTTGCTGCCCGGTTATGGTTTGCTGAAGATGTTTCCACGCACAAAAACACTTGCCGTCGCCCAGTTTTCGCTTGAACAAAGCCGCCCGGGTTCGCGAGCGCGTCTCAGCGAGTCTCAGGCCCGGCGGAGTTCCACATCGACTCCATCTACGTGGTGCCGGGCGTCGGCCTCGTGGTGGGCGGCGTGGTCCGCGCGGGGCCTCGGCCGCCGGCGCTTCGGGGGCCTAACGGAGCGGAACCTAAAGTCGGACGAAACAAAAAGGGGGCGCACTCGGAGGTTGGGGCCCGGACATATTTTTGGCCGGGCGCAAATAAAAATTTTGCTTCTTGGGGAGGGCCGTCCAGCCGGCAACAGCTTTTTGGCGGTCGCTAAGGAGCCGGGCGCATCCGCCCGGGGCAGCAGCTCCTGCTTGGCCCGGACAAAGTGAGCCAGCGCGGGCCTCGGGCGAGGAGCGGGAAGTGCGGGCGCTCGAGTAGGAGGAGCACCAGGGTAGGTGTGGCTCCCAGGCGGATTTGAGCCAGAAGAGACATGGCCGTGGTTGTCAAAACCGTTTTGGGATCCCATTTCGAGGCTTTCGATGCACCCATTTGAGGCTTCCGATTTTTGCGGTTGGCTTGGGATGTAACCACTGGGGCTGCGGGGTTTTGACCCATGGCCAAATGAGGGGCTCTGCGTCTTGTTCCTGTTTTCAGATGCCACTTTCCGTGCGCGTTCAGGGTAAGACACAGACCAGAATGTTTGAGGGGTCAAGGCGACCCGCTGTTTCTCATGTTTTCGCGAAGGACACGGATATCGTTAACGCCACATTTTGATTGGAAGTCTTGTTGTCATAGGTGTCCTTTTTGGTTGATTTGGTTGAAGAATAGAGGGCCCTGGTTTACCTGGCGGTCCAATCAACTACCAGGGCCATCTATTTTCCATAAAAGGACACCTAATTCTGCTTGTTGTCAGGCTGACCTTTGGCTTCTTGCTTTTGGGAAGGGACTCTGAGCAGTTGGCTGAGGTTCAAGCCGGTGCTGGTGCTCGCGGCCGAGTTTTTTCTGGCTTGAAAAACATCCGCTCCACTCTTTAAAGCAGAATGGCTGGGACAATTCTTATTTAACTGTCAGAGGTTTGATTTTCTTGGATTTGTTAAGGACGGACTGCGAAAGCATTTGCCCAGGATGTTTTCATTGCTCGCTCCTTTTTTTGTTTCTCTCTTTTTTCGCCCAGTCGAACTCGGCACCAACATAGGGCTACGCATATCTCGGGGCAGGCCCTTAGTGGTGGACATAAATCCCCACCTAGTTTTGATGTCCACCACAGGGTCCCCAAATAAAAATCACACCCAGATTTGTGAGTTGCTCGCCCAGGGCAAGACTTGCTAGTTCGTTGCAATAGCGCTGCGATTTTGCGTCCGCCACATCCGTGGTTGTTCAAGACCGTTTCCTTTTTTAACGCTTTAGTTTCCCCATTCCCTGAAGAGATAAGGTATTCAAGGGTCCTGTGCACGAGTGAGCGCCACGAGCAGCTAACTTGTTCTGCTCTACATACCAGACGGATCGCCTGTGCCACTTGACCATCTTCCCTTGCCAGATCAAGACCATCCAGTACAAGCGCGTGAACGTGGATTCCGCAGAGAGCGGCCAGCAGCAGCCTCACATTTCACGTCGGCCAGGATGGCTGCCATGCCCACTTTTAAGACGTAGAGTTGCAAGATGGCGCTCAATCAACATCTGTTTTTTGGTTGCGGGCTGGAATGTCGCTTTTCGTCGCGGTTTCAGCGTCGTCTCTAGAGTTGCAGGTATTTGCATGACCTTCCTGAAACGAAGCAGAATCACAGCAGCCTTGAAAGTCCCTATGCCAGTTTCATGATTCTGCGCCCAGGCACTGCAGCTTTGCCCTGCGGTCTCTAGTGAAGAGGGCACATCTGGCTGGTGTTAATCCCACTCGTTGTGGGATTCATGAAGCAGCACCAGGGTATTGGACCAGTTGAAGGAATGGGTTTCCTCGACCTTTGTCTCTTTGTCCTTGGATTCATGTTTCCCTTGCGCGGGCGTGTTCTCAGACTCGTAGCGGGACTGGCGGGAGTGACCCCTAACAGCTCAAGGTGTGGCTCCTCGAATTCTCGCGGTCGACGCTTCCATAGCTCAAGCAAATCCATCCGTCGTTCTTCTTTTTCCTTCCAGGTTTGGTTCCTGGTGATATGAACACTTTGCATGAGAGAAGGGTATGGCTCGATTTTTTGCCATTGGGGGCGAATCCCAAAGTGCAGCCGATGTTCCTTTGGATGTTCCTTTTGCATTCGGGTGAAGTTCACAAGGGAACTCTGCCCGTGTTTCATGCGGGCGAGTGCAAAAGGCAAGTCAGCCCTCCCACCGTTGTTCTTTCAGTCTTGGAATAGTGACAAGGAAGCTCAGTAGTTTAAGCCAAAGCCTCTGACGGTCTGCTTTGCACGTGAAATGCACCGCCTGGCTTGCCAGGAAACTCTGAAGAAGAGCATGTTCAGAAAAGGCATGGTCCTAGCCTGAGGTCACTGGTTGAGTGCACCTCCCGCTTTCCACGTGCTGGGAATGAATTGGGGCAGTGGCTAAGGTCTTGCTAAGTCCTGAGACGCAGCCCAGAGCTATTTGGTCCTTCAAGGCAGAGGCCAGGGCAAGTTCATGACAACCTTTGTGTAAAATGCCGCATGAGATATCACTGTTCCCTATTTCACGGAGATTCCGTCGTCATTTTGGTCCACGATTCCGTAGCTATTGGGCCATTGGCTCAAGCCCCGCTGACTTCAGGTGTGATCCGCGACACGTCACGGGCCATTGGAAGGCGGATCTTTTGACCGCGCCATGCGAGGCGCCTTTGCCGTTTCTCTACGCTTGCTGCTGCACGTGCTGTGCCATCTGCCAGCAGAGGGCCGAGCTCCTGGACCTCACTGGAGAGCCATACGTGTGCTGCGCAGGGCTGTGCCCCTGCGGCTGCATCTGCTGCTCCTTGGATGAGCCTCAGGACAGGTCCTGCCTGTGCCTGGAAGTGTGCTGCTGCCCTGGCTTGGCCATGACCGGAAACAGGTTCATGGTCCAGACGCGCTTCGACAAAGAGAACACGCCTTGTGACGACTGCATCATGAACTGCACCTGCCTGTTTCTCTGCGCCTTGGAAGTTCTCAGGATCTGTTCTGATATCCACCCGTGATGGGACGTTTGTGCTGATCATCCGGCAATGTGCGTCCTGGGCTGCATTCATGCCCAGCAGATTGAGATTGACGAGCGTGGCCATGAAGGCATGACCTCCCGGATGATGAAAGCTCCGCCCTCACAGAAGGCGATGAGGTCGAGCATGAATCATTGCGACGGCCCTGACGCTATTCAGCTTGGCGCTCCTCAGTCACAGCAGGGGCCACTCATGGGTGGTCCCGTGGCAGTGCAGGTGCGCTGCGGCAACTGCAGGCACGTCTTTGGAGCACCACAGCAAGGAATGGTTGCGAAATGTGTAAGAGGCCAAACAGATGCTAGCTAGTTCAGCTGGTGCCTGAGATTTGGGCAGCCGCAATGCAACATTAGGCTTTTTGTTCTGGCACCCAGCCAGGTGTATACTTGAGCTGAACTGTTTTTTTGTGCTTTTCCCTCCCGCACTCAGCCAAGCAAGATGAGCTGAACTTGCCGGGATGCCTCGCTTCGCACGAGGAATATTCTATGAGCACAACTTGTACTTCCGTTCCAGCTGATTGAGTGCGAGAAAAGAAAACAAACAACATGTATGATGGCTCACAGAAGGCATTTGCAGAGTCCGCCCTTGGAGAGATGTGGTTGATGGAGGTGCCACGGGACGCCATGCGCCTCCCATTTGTCACATGTGTTGCAGCGGGATGGTTCTCCATGAACGACCCAAAGACGATGCCGCTTTGCCCAGCGATGCATGCATGAATGCTATGCCTTTCGGGCTGAGTCTTCCAGATCAGCCGCAGCTGTTGGGTGCAAGCGTCTCAGGTGCTTTTGGGGGCAGGTTTGCAAGCCGCGCAGCCATGGTCATCAAGACCGACCTGTGCAACTACACTGAGCAGCTTGGCAAGCACCCGATTCTCTCGTGGACCAGGGGGGTTTGCTTGATTCGGAGGACATCCTGTGGGACATTGCTATTGTAGCTTTGGCTTTTGCAACCTTCTCGGCATCCACGACGTCCTGGTTCCCGATGTTTGATGTCTACCCTACCAATCGGGGTTTTGTGAGTGGTTGGTAATGAGGTTTTTGGAGGACTCCTCTGATAAAATGTAGTCCTCCTGATAAATCTGCCAGAACAAAGGCAATGTGACGGGGCATTGTGTTGAGATATGCGAGCAGCTGAGGTGGCAGGCGGATCATTTTTGTTGCTTGTTTGTTTCCAGCACGATAAAAACACAAGACACAAACACAAACACATGGGTGTGGTGTAAACTAGGGTCCCCCTCCCCCCAAAATGTGTGGCTTCCTTTTAGTCTTTCTTTAACACAACCAAGCAAAAAGAACAAATCGGGTACCTCCCCCAAAACAAAACGCACAAAAAGCCACGTCCACCGTCACGTCCACGTGAACTGCAGGTACAGGATCTACCCGGGCCACGGCCAGAAGTTCATTGCCAAGGACGCGAAGGTGGGAGCGAAATCGGCGCTCGACATCGGCGCGCGAAACCGGACGGGTGGCCAGGCGATGGACGGCGTTTCTGGGATGGGAACCCAAGTTGGCAGAGAGACAAAATGCAAGAGGCCGAGAAGCGATGTTTGTCTTGCAGAGGAGATCTCCTTGCTCCACCAGATGGGTGTGGGTCAAACAGGACGAAGACCTGCGGTCCGATTCCTGGTTTAATTTGGACCCACAGCCAAATGACCATCATAGGAATGAGAGGGGATCTCCTTGCTCCAAGACGAAATCATAGGAACGATTAACCTTGGGAACCGGAAGCGCAGGTGAGCTTCTTCATCACCGCGAAGGCGGACTCGCTCTATCACCAGCGCATCAAGCCAGCGCTTCGGCCAGAATTTTTAGAGCCGAGGGAGCGGGGTCTGGGCATCGGGGCATGCAGTGCGATTCGACGGGAGCGAAAGAGCTGAAACCTGAGCACTCACTCCCCGACCGCCAAAAGAGGGTTGAGTTGTCCGTGCGGCAGGCACATGCCGATCTGGGCAGAGAGTCCCCAGGCTCTGGGCCGGGAAGAACCTGGATCTCTCTGCATGCCCATAGATACAGCCAGCACTCGGAAGCGCGTTCCACTGGCCTGCGAAGCTGCAGGTTCCATCTTTCTTGGTTCCATCCGCCGTGATGGCCGTGATGGCCGTGACGTGCTTCCTCATGATGTCCTTGCGCTGGCCATGAACGGAGGTTCAGGTGGCATTCCGGCACCTGTCGCAGTCCGCTTCTCTAGTGCAAGGAGGTCATGAACATTTGGCCGCGAACCTCAAAGTACTGCACTTTGTGCTCCTCGCATCCGCCGGCTCCGCGAGATGCGTCGGACCCTTCCTCGCTGTGAGTCTGTTGCTCTGGCGCCCCCAGCCTCTCCTTGCCGATTCCGCGAAGCTCAAAGGGACAGCCGCTTGATGATGCCATCCTCGTCGCGACGGGTCTGCCATCCAAATAGCTAAAGCACACACACACACACACTTGGCCCTGCTATTCATAGCGTGATTTAACTGGCCGGCATCAGATGTATCTGCATTTGAACTGCTGAAGCATCTCAGTCAAGCCAGCTTGGAATGGGTCAAAGGTCTTGTCAGAAGGTTATTTGGCCTTCTGAAATATCTTATCCTGAAGAGCCTTGTAGTGGTGATGTGCTCTTGACCCCCACTTCATAGTTGTTTTGTGCCTAGTTCGACGTGACAGTTTCTGTCAGCTCCTGTATCGTCCGGATGTTCATAGTCAAGTGCTGGAATCTCTGCGCACAGCTTCAACTATTACTTATCCCACGGCTCTTGTTGTTGATATCCCTCTTGCTCCGGCATCGTCTTTTTTGATCAGGTTTCTGAGGCGCAATGTCGCGCATGTCAAGGCTCGAGCCCAAATTTTTCCACCCACGTCGGGCGAGGTTTCTTGACGTGACTCACCCTTGGGCAAGTCCTCGCCTCCAGCCAAACAAAAAGCGCCCGAGGTGAAGCTGCGATGGACGCAGGCCTGGAGGCGAATGAACAAGAAGGGCAAGGTCGAGGAGGGCGCCAAGAAGAGGACCCGCAAGGCCGCGAGATGCCTGTGGGATGGGTTTGATGTGTCTTGGTGGCGAAGCCGAAGGCCATCCTGTTCCTGAGGCCTTTTAGCCTAGTGTTTGGTGGCAGTTTCTATGTAGCCCACCAAACGTTGAACACTTTTAGCGGGGGATCTGAGGGCCCAGTGTGTGAGGTTCCGGTCCGCATCACTGGGTTTTCATGTTTGGCCAATGGTTTGCACGAGCGCTAGGCGCAGAAGTTTCAGAAGGCCATCGTGGGCATGTCTCTGGATGACATCAAGAAGAAGCTACTTGGGCTGAAATGCGGGGCTCGTTTACAGATGCAATATGTATGGTATATACTTGTATGCGTATTGTGTATATGTGAGGATGGAGGAAGAAGAAAAACGAGAGAGAGAGAGAGAGAGAGAGAGAGACACCGCGAGAGAGACACCGCGAGAGAGACACCGCGAGAGAGACACCGCGAGAGAGACACCGCGAGAGAGACGGAGAGGGAGAGAGAGAGAGAGAGAGGGCCCAAGGTGTGGGTGAAGCGGCCTCTAGATCGGATGCTCATTCCCATAGAACTATGTGGGGCACATCAAGTTGCCATTCGAACATGGGTTATTCGACACATTTCCACGCGGTAGGAGGAAAATGAATATTGTGCGTGGTTCACATGCCAAGATAGGCCAGATGGTCAATACGAGCACCTTGTTCAACCTGCCCAACATGGCCATGGGTCAAAATCCCGTACCTCCAGTGAACATCCGAATCCCCACTAAAATAGATCCTAAAATGGGTGGTGAATTCACCCAATCCCCAAAATGGGATCCCAAAACGGTTTTGACAACCACAGCTACATGAGCAGCGGCGAGTTTTTCTTCGCCGGCCTTTTTGTCCGTGAGTTCTTATTCTGGGGTCATTATTTTGACTGTTTCTGGGGGTGATCAAAGTCAGAAAATGGGATCGGTTGTTTCCCTTTAACCCACCACTGAACGGGGGTGACTTTGATGGTAAAATAATGAGGCCTCTGTGTGAGCATGTTTGTGGTTTGCGGGTGAATCTCCAGAGATGTTGGACATCACCTCAAAAGCGTTTGTCTCGAACCCATGTTTGTTCATTTACATCAGGAACCCTAAGGCAGCCGGACACATCCATGCTAGACCACTGATGCCTCAAGTGCCCCAAAAAAGGGTCAAATTAGTCTCCAGAAAAATAATGATAAACATGTTGGAAATCACCTCAAAGACGCGTTTTTGTCTCGAACTCCACTTGGCCGCGCCGGCCGCGCCCCGTTGCCACTTCTCCCCCCCCCCCCCCCCGAATCACCCCCCAACGAGGAAGGCCATGAGGCCGGAGCTGCGGAACCAGCGGGAGCAGGCCGCCAAGGCGGGAGCTTTTGAGCCGGGGTGAGCTGGTTGGCGGACCCCTAGTTTAGTGTTTGGATTGAATCGGTTGTTCACTGGGGGTACCATTTGGGTTTTGAGCCATGGCCATTTTTGGTTGTTGGGCATGGTTGCCAAGCTCCTAACATGGCAGTTGCAAGATTTTCACATGCGTGGGACAGGGAAATGTTGAAGAAGTTGTGTGTCCGACACAGTGCAAGACTGGGATCCGTGGAAAGGACATGAGAGGTTTAAAATACTTGTCAGAGAAAACAACCTGATTGGCTCTTCGGCCTCGTTTGTTTTTCTGCCCCGTTTCGTTCTCGTGTGTGGTCCTCCAAATTATTCCTTGCAACACCCGCAAATCCAAGCTGGGAAAGCCTGCGGATTTCCAAATATGCTTCTTGAGCTGGTTCCGGCGTCCATGTTTGACCTGTCCCATCAAAATCTCTCGCGAATCTGGAGACGCCATGATGTCAAGCTTCTTGCATGGTTGCATGCACACACATTTGGGTATGGGTCAAAATCAAACCACTAGGGAACCGCAGGTTTTAGTCCTTGTCTCCGTCAACCAGAGCTCCACTTTGGGTACCCATCTTTGTCCAGCCATTTGGGTCTGTCTTTGTCTTAGGGCACTCCTTTCTTGGTGGTTTTCACATGAAACCAAAAGGAAAACAACACATCTTTGGGGGGTACTCCTTGGTTTTCACATGAAACCAAAAGGAAAAAAGGACACCAACACATCTTCTTGGGGGCAATCCCAAAGGAGGCGAAGGCCAAGCAGGCGGCGCAAAAGAAGCCCGGCGGGGAAGCCCGGATGGACGAAGCCAACGAGCCATCGGGTTGCACCGATGGCGATGGATCCCATTTTGGGGTGGATGAGTTCATCCATTTGATGTCCACCTATTTTGTGCCACCTATTTTTTGATGTTCACCAGGGATGTCCAAGGTTTTGACCTACTTCTGCTTCTTCTGCTTGTAGATTTTTGCAGTTAGTCATCTACTTACGTAAGTCCAGAGTTGCAGTGGCAGACATCCCACAAGTCCACAGATCGAACACCCCCCCTGTGGAGAAGGTCGCAGCTTGAAAGCGTTGACCGTATTTTGGCTCCCTTTGGGCCATTTTTTGGTGGGCCGTGATGAGGCAAGCCAGCTGTTCCCAAGACCAAGCCCGACAAGGCGCGCGGCGGGAGAGGTTCAATAGGGAACCCCTGAAAAGTGGGTTGGTGGACGGAAATCCCCCACCCAAATGATGTCCACCAAAGGGGCCCTGATTAAAGTTCATACCCATATGAGTCGTAGAAAGATCTCCAGGCATTGGCCGCCTGAGGGAGATGGTCACTGCATCTTCTTGAAACAGTTTGCAAATCGCGAGAGACGGCGATGTCACATGCATCTCTCAATCGGCTCCATCAAAAGCCATGCGAAAAGACGAAAACATTTCTTCACCTGAACCACCACTGGTTTCACCCTGCTTTCCCTTCAAAGCATGAATTTAAGAAACCAAAAGGGAAACTCTAAAGGACACCCCTGATTTTGATGGGAATTTGGCGAGTTTCCTGTAGAATATCCTGCTGGTTTCTAGGCTCTGAGTGCCTTCACTGGTTTCACCCTGGTTTCCCTTTCACACTGAGTGCCCTCACCCTGGTTTCGTCTTCCTGGCCACCTGCTCTTCTGAAGGCCTTGGTTAAGTGAGCCATTGGATCGGATGAAAAGATCGAAACCTGCGCCAGTCTCAGAAGCTGCCCAAGGGCGGAGGTGCTCCTTCCGGCCGGAGACCCAGATTTCAGCCCGCTGAAAAAGCCGGCCGGCAAAAAGCCGGCTCGCTCCACGTCGACGTGATGCACATGTGGCTGTGGTCAAAACCGGTTTGGGAGCCCATGTTGGGGATTGGGTGAATTCACCAGCCATTTTTTAGTTTATTTTAGGGGGGATTTGGGAGTGGCTCATGGGTGTGGCTCAAAATAAAACAGGAGGGGCAAACCGCAGGTTTTGGTCCATGCTTTCCAGGGCAAACCATTTTTGTATCGTTTTTTTTGAGCCGCACATGTCTCCTTTCTGTATCCTTTCCATGCGGGGTGCAGCGGAACAGAAAGCGAGGAATCTATCAATCATGCGGCCCACAGTTTCGGTGGTTTTGGCCGGTTCTCAAGTCGTCGCCGCAAGCAAGTGGTGTGTCTGTTGCTCTGGCTGTTGAAATAAAACTCGCAAACATTATTTTTTGTGCTGTTTGGGCTGTCCGCTTTAGAAATTGTGTGTTGTTCATGAATGCTCCCTTTGATTGACACTGCAGGAAGCCTAGCTGGATGGCTTGCTAGTACACCCCTTTGTACGTTCAATGGCCGTCTACACAGGAGAACATGTATCCAAGTAACTTAGCATTGCATTGCTGTTCCGAACCTGTCCAATATCATCTCTGTCAATGTCACAGCAGTAGGGTCACGGATTCCTTTTTGTCGCGGGCGGAGCAAAAGCGGAACTTCAGTCGGCTAGATATATTTTTTCAATGCTGCTTGCTTCGCGACCTCGAGAGAGACAGCCACGGATGGGGCAAATAATTTTTAAACTTGCCTTCTCTTGGCTCCCAGCCATCCGGTTCCTTAGCCTTTTAGCCTTTTAGCCTTTTAGTGTGTAGTGGTAGTTTCCATTTGACCCACAAACAGTTCGCCACTTTTCGCGGAAATCCCAAAACGGGCCCAGTTCTAAAGCCGCATTGGTTAAGGCGCCAAGAACTTCAAGGGCAAGAAGTGAGGACCAAGGACTTGATCCATACGGCTGCTGCGGCTACAAGCGGAAAGAAAATACCGCTGGCTCCGTGTGCTTTTCTTTGGAGTCGCGAGTCGCTTCGCTTCGAATCCCAAAAGGCTATTGCATAACTTGATCCATGGAACAGCGGCTGCTTACGGAAAGCGGAAAGAAACCGCTCCGTGTGCTTTCGGGAGTCTTTGAGCGCTTCGCTTCGCTTCGAATTCCAAGAGGCCGTTGCATAAAGTACCGGTTGAGCGTTGGAAGGAAGGCACATGTTTCGCAAGCATGGCTCATGACCAAGCATGGAATTGATTTTCCTCCATATCACCAAGCATGAACTTGATTTCCCTCCATATGACCAAGCATGGAATTGATTTTCCTCCATATCACCAAGCATGAACTTGATTTCCCTCCATATGACCAAGCATGGAATTGATTTCCCTCCATATCACCAAGCATGAACTTGATTTCCCTCTATATGACCAAGCATAGAATTGATTTCCCTCCATATGAGCAAGCATAGAATTGATTTCCCTCCATATGACCAAGCATAGAATTGATTTCCCTCCATATCACCAAGCATGAACTTGATTTCCCTCCATATGACCAAACATGAACTTGATTTCCCTCCATATGACCAAGCATGAACTTGATTTCCCTCCATATGACCAAGCATGGAATTGATTTCCCTCCATATGACCAAGCATGAACTTGATTTCCCTCCATATGACCAAGCATAGAATTGATGTCCCTCCATATCACGAAGCATGAGCTTGATTTCCCTCCATATGACCAAGCATGAACTTGATTTCCCTCCAAGCATGAACTTGATTTCCCTCCATATGACCAAGCATGGAATTGATTTTCCTCCATATCACCAAGCATGAACTTGATTTCCCTCCATATGACCAAGCATGGAATTGATGTCCCTCCATATCACCAAGCATGAACTTGATTTCCCTCTATATGACCAAGCATAGAATTGATTTCCCTCCATATGAGCAAGCATAGAATTGATTTCCCTCCATATGACCAAGCATAGAATTGATTTCCCTCCATATCACCAAGCATGAACTTGATTTCCCTCCATATGACCAAACATGAACTTGATTTCCCTCCATATCACCAAGCATGAACTTGATTTCCCTCCATATGACCAAGCATGGAATTGATTTCGCTCCATATCACCAAGCATGAACTTGATTTCCCTCCAAGCATGAACTTGATGTCCCTCCATATCACCAAGCATGAGCTTGATTTCCCTCCATATGACCAAGCATGGAACTGATTTCCCTCCATATCACCAAGCATGAACTTGATTTCCCTCCATATGACCAATCATGGAATTGATGTCCCTCCATATCACCAAGCATGAGCTTGATGTCCCTCCATATGACCAAGCATGAACTTGATTTCCCTTCATGTCACCAAGCATGAACTTGATTTCATTCCATATGACTAAGCATGAAATTGATTTCGCTCCATACGACCAAGCATAGAATTGATTTCCCTCCATATGACAAAGCATAGAATTGATTTCCCTCCATCCGTCTCAGTTAGCAGTGACAGTATTTGGCAAGTGTTATGTGCATATACATGTGTATATACATGTGTATATATATATATATATATATATGTATATCTTTTGATTTTTGCCGGCTCTGGCGCAGGTGGTGATTCTACACCACGCTACCACCATCAGAGAAGGATACCAGGCGCGATCGCCTTTGTCATCCCAAATAATGACTGCCAGCACGGCTTTAAGCAAGGCATCCAACGAGCCCAAAGAGCGGATGCAGGTGAAGGCAAGTAGTCAGCCTTGTAGGAGGACCAAGGACCTGCACAGTTGTTGTTTGGAGAAGGTTTTTACGCGACACGTGCGGGTTGCTGGTTACTGCCATGGCAGGGAGAAGGACCTCGGATGAAAAATTCGTAGGCTCCGTCAGACTAAGACGGAAGCTCCCAGAAGGCGTCTGTAAATGGTTCCATGTTAGTCTGGGGGAGGGTATCAGGTTCAAAGTTTGCGCGCCAGCCACCAACTTTTCCTTTGATTTGAAGGCAGTACTCTGGCTGGCTTCGTGAAAACCCGCCAAGGTAACGATGATGCAAGCAAGCTACTCTGTGAGTCCCACTGGGGCTTCCATTTTTTACGGGGTACCCTGCAAAATGGTGGTTTTGATCTTGGTTGTCCTTTTAACACGTCAGACAAGGGGTTACTATCAAGACAAGACGAGCACCCATTTTCAATGTACCACG